CTCTCTGCTCTGTCTGGTGCTTTTGAATCAGGCTGATCAGTAGCTCAGAGTTAGCTGGGACAGTTTGCAGAACTGATTTCTACCATTTTCCTCATTTCTTCTAAGCAAATAGTTCATTGTCCTGGCTCTGAAGCCTTTTACCAACAAAAAGGAAGAGGACATGGCTAATAGGTCTTCTGTGTGTGTCATAGTTGGTATTTTTAGCTAGCAAAGGTAAACTGAAAAGAGCTATACAGAACAACTCTTATGCTACTGAAGTCCATGGTAAACACAGAACCCATGAGATGGGAAAAAGGATTGAAAGCAAACGTAGTGAGAATAAGATGGAATCAGTCAGGCTCAGGCCAACCTGACACAGTTGGTCTGTCGGTTTAGGTCCTCAGAGACCTTTACCTCAGATCTCCCATTCTTACTGTTTTGTAAATTTAGCTTCCACCCTAAAGATGCCCATCTTGAATGGTTTAGGAAGATTGATTTAAAAAATTGACTTTTGAATCAGAAATGTAATAGGTCACTGAGTTGTGCTGATTATTAAGGGTTAATGCGGTCTTTGGTTTAGGAGAACTGATTTAGGAATTTGATTTTTAAATTGGAAATGTTATACTAGGTCACTGAAGTATGCTGATTATTACTTAATAAGGGTCTATGTGGTCTTTGCTTTGAACTTTTATGTATAAAACTGTGATTTTGGAAATGGAAGAACAGAACACTCTTGGAGAGGCTACTGTTACTATTCTCCAGAATCTCTGGCCTTCTGACAAAGTTTGGTGGACCTACCCCAGTTTCTGCATATTGGTTTTACAGTGACAGGTGGCTGGATCCTCTTTGTCTGGTAACAAGATAAAGCCAGTGAGAATGCCCACCACTAACCAACATGAGAAAGTATAGAGTTTTTTTTTTCCATCAAAAAAATTCAAAAGGTCTAACGTAGTTGAACATACCTATTATAATGTGGCTTAAGAGAATGAAAGCTGCCTGCCACCATCTCTGGTGTCTAAGTATCCACTAATTCCTTTTTTTCTTTTTAGTATATATTATCAATGTAATTAGGTAATAAATTAAAAGAATAGCTTGAGCAGATATATAACTTAAAATTCAAACTGAGGAGAACAAATGAATTATTGCAGGAACAGAGTTATTCAGGATCCAAAGGTAAAGTGAAGTTGCTACAGCTAGTCTGTCCCTCTCCATCAGTAAAAATATTAGGGTATATTAGGTGGCTGCCTTCACTTCCCTGATATTAGAGATCCACTAATACATGAGTGTGCAAATATTTTTAAATTTGCCTAGCTCTTGCTCTCCAAAGAATTTCTAACATTAGACTTGGACTTCTTAAAACCAGGTATAGAGACACTACCTTTATTCTCCATCATCTTGAGTGATCTTAGTGTCTGTAGGGACTAGGTCTCCATCCTAGTCTCACTGTTCCTTGAATTCCTCAACCAAGATGACCTTTAGCAACCCCTCTGAGCACTCCCTAGAATGTCAACACTCAGAACTGCACTACTCTGAAATCCTGAGTTCCAAGCTTACCTTCCTTCTCACTCATTTCCAGCCCCCTTGTTTGAACCCGCCACCCTCAGTATATGGGGCCAGTGCCCTACTCACTGGCGCCGCCTCTAAATCCAAACTTTTTAACCCAGCATACATAGCTCCTCGCCATCTGTTTGACATAATTTCCCAGTGTTTTCTTTGATCACTTCTTCGTGCATACCGTCTATTTCTGCTGGTTTTGATTTACTTATTAGATACTGAATACCTACTATTTACAAGAAACTGGGCTTGGTGCCAGGGATATAATAATAAACACGGCAGACACGGAGCCTTCCTTCATGCAGCTGACATTTCAGTGGGGGAGAAAGACACTGAACACTTACAACATATGTAATTATTATCTAATTAGAATGACTGTAAAGGTATGAAGGATAATTGTAGGGCACTAAGACAGCATTCAGTTAGGGGGATTTGAAATCCCCTAAGGGCCTCAGGAAAGCTGGAAGAAGTGATGTTTGAGCTGTCCACTGAAGGATGAGCAGGGTGAACTGGTAATAGGGGTGGGTCTGGAGTGCTCTGCCAAAGTAAACCACAGCATAGCCTGGTGGAACAACACAGCTTATCTGACAAACAAAGGGCACCAGGCTGGAGAAAGAGGCAGAAACTGGGCTGCCCAGGGCTTGGAAGGATATTTGACCCTTACCCAAAAAACATGGGAAGTAGTCTTTGGTTTAAGTTGGGGAGTACTAGTGATCAGACCACTGGCTGCTCAATACAGAACAAATTGGAGCTTCCTGGAATCTCTTTGCTCAGTTACAGCTCGGTATTATTCCTCTGCCTGAAATGCTCTTTCTGGAAAGATAAGAACTTACCTGTTCCTGAGAATCCATGAGAAATTCCTAGGTACTTTTGGAAACAACCAGAGGGGATTTATGAGGGCTATAAGGGGGTTAAAAATACGTGCATTTGAGTAATAGCAAATTTTTATATTGCACCTACAGAGTTCTAGGCCCACTCTAAGCACTTTTACATTTGCTCATCAATTAAATTGCCACAATAGCTCAATATAGCAGTGCCATCATCATCTCTACTCTAGAAATAAAGATCATGAAATACAGAGAGGTCAGGTGCCTTACCCAAGGTCACAAAATTAGTGGTTGAGCTGGGATTATGACCCCAGGCAGTCTGACTCCCAAGCCTGTGTTATCAGCAACCATGTTATTCAGCCAAATCTGAGCCCTACTTTGACTTCATGGTGAGGTTTAGGGACATTTGTTTTATTCTCTAATCTCCCTGTAGAACTGGGAGCTCTGCCTTCAAACTCTATCAAGCGCATACTGCCTCTTCTAGGGAGCTAGGCAATTTTCAGTCATGAAGCCCTCAATCAAGGAGCCAAGCCATGTTCTAAACAACTAATACAGAAATAATTTGGCCCTAACTTATCAAAAGAGAAATACTGTATTTCTTTCACCCCTCTCTATCAAGAATTTCCAGTATATGTTGTTAAATCTATCAATGTCACATATACATTTTATGTCTGTTTTTCCCTCTTCCTCCCTATTAACAAGATTGGAATGAGACATTAAGGCTCGGCTTGGCACCTGTGGCTCAAGTGGCTAAGGCACCAGCCACATACACCTAAGGTGGCAGGTTTGAATCCCGCCCGGGCCCGCCAAACAACAATGATGGCTGCAACCAAAAAATAGCCGGGCATTGTGGTGGGCGCCTGTAGTCCCAGCTACTTGGGAGGCTGAGGCAGGAGACTCGCTTGAGCCCAGGAGTTGGAGATTGCTCTGAGCTGTGATGCCAGGGCACTCTACCCAGGGGGACAGCTTGAGGCTCTGTCTCAAAAAAAAAAAAAAAAGGATCAATGAATGAATATATTTAAAAAAAAAAATCAATGTTCACCTTGTTGATTTCCACCAAAATAAAATAAAAGCCTTCAGGGATTGCACTGAACCTACAGAGTTACTTGGACAGAAATGACATTTTAACAATACTGAATTTTGTTATCAAGACTGTCCATGAACATAGTATATCTTCTCAATTTATTTAGGTCTTTGATTGCTCTCAGAAACATTTCATAGTCATCAGTGTAGAGGGCTTGCAAGTCTTTTGTTAAGTATTTTGGTATTTTTATGCCACTGTAAGTGGTACTGTTGTTTTAATTTTAATTTCTAATTGTTCATTATTGGTGGACAGTAATGCAATTCATTTTTTATGTTTACTTTATATCCTGAAATCTTGCTAAACTCACCTAATAGGTCCAAAAGCTTTTTTTTTTAATAGATTCTTTGAGATTCCTCACACAGATAATTATGTCACTTTTGGATAAAACCCAGTCTTATTTCTTCCTCTCCAATATATGTGCCTTTTCTTTCTTTTTCTGGCCTTACTTCCCTGGCTAGGGCTCCAATACAATGCTGAATAAAGAGGTACCAGCAGACATTCTTTCCCTGTTGCTGATCTTGAGCAGCAAAGCATTCAGTCTTTCATCATTAATTATGGCAACAGCACATAAAAAGTTTTTTTAAATATATGCCCTTTATCAGCTTCAGGGAAGTTCCCTTTTATTCATAGTTTGCTTAGATTTTTAAAAAATTGTAAATGGGTCTAAAATGTTGTCAAATGCTTTTTCTGCGTGAATCAAGACAATTATATCATTTTCATCTTATTCTGTTAATACGGTAGACTACAGAGTTTATTTCAAATGTCAAGCCAACCTTATAATTCTGGGAAAAATATGCTTGGTCATGATGTCTTATTCTTTTTATAAATTGCTGGATTTGATGTGCTAATACTTTATTAAGAATTTTTATGTCTCTGTTAATGAGGGATATTGGTCTATACTTTTCTTGTAACGTTTTTGTCATGTTTTGGTATGAGATTTTTCTGGCTTCATAAAATGAGTTGTGTATTTTTCCTTATTCTTTTACTAATTAACTTTAAAAAAGGAAGCATAATTATATGATGCTGGATTTAGTAAATGACAGCCAAGAACAGGACCCTCAATTGGCTTTACCCTTTATCACCCTGTTCAAACAATACTGCAACTCTCTTAATGACAAAAAAAGTATAATACCTCCTGCCTCATATGGGCGATTAGTACACATCCATTTTATGAAAGGGCACACATACATATATATGTTTGTGTGTATATGCAGCAATATAACAACCAATTCTTTTTGATATAGTCTCTTTATAAGTAACTTAAATTCTAACAGGAAGCTCTTATTTCATGCTGATTCTTTCTAATTAGGTCTGCACCAAAACTGCTCAGAACTTATGGTAACATATTCAACCAAGCACTCAGAACCTACTATGATGAATTATTTGTTAGTCCTTTAATAAAAGGGGCACTTTCCCAGCTAAGAAGCACCTGTATGGCATGCACACTGATATCACTGATGAAGAGTGAAAGGAGGGAATGAATATAGAGATAGAAAGCAGAAAAAAGAAAAAAAATGCTTCAGAAAAGTAGGGTTTTGTTTTGTTTGTAGACTCACCCCACGTGGTTGTCTTGAGGTTTTCATCATCCAACTGTACAATGCTGGATTGTGTTGGTTTATGACAGTCCTTACTGATCACAATCTCCTTTGCTGGGTCAAATATTTTGAAAGAGGGAGAGACATAGAGTGTCTCAACAGAGGTCTGGTTATGGAAAGTAGAATCTGACTTGGATATCCTTAAATTGTGACTGATAAATTCTTTACTTGATGACCAAAATGCTGGTAAAGTTATCAATGTTTCAAAACTTTTTGCAGCTGATTGCTTTTCTAGAGGTGTTTGCAAGGGGTCTTCCGTTATACTGTTCATAACAGTATTGGTACTGTCTGATCTCTTGTCCAAACTCACATTTGTCTGCAGAGATGGGCTTTTTTCTGAAGAAGTAAGCAGAGTGTCTGTAAAACAACAAATAAGAACTATAATCAGAAGATAAAGCTGAAAATACTCTTATTTCAAATTTGTTACAATTTTAATAAATAGGACTTTTTTAATGCCATAACAGAATTCTTTTCCTATTTAGTCCTTCTGCTTTCTTACTATGCTTCTGTATTCTGCCTATTTAAAGTACACCCAAGCTATAATTGATGCCTTAGTCATTTGGTAGCTGCCTTTCCCTCTCTCCTCACTTGAAACACAAGGCAAGGAAAGCTTCAAATAACTCATCTTTAAATATTTCTCCCTTCACCCACTTATCTGTCTCTGAAACCACCATATTTTTAGTACTTTCAAATTTTCATCTTTTACACAATAAATGAGGAGAAATATGCCACATCATATTGGTCTATCCTTATAGAACCCTCAGCTACAAAAAAGTCTTTTTCCCCAAAATAAAGACTGTCTTCTTCTCCTCAATGTCTATATGAGGCACATTGAAGAAACTCAGTTCTTTAGTGAACAAAATAATTTTAATAAATCTTCACCTATGTGTAATTAAAGAAACAATCTTTCAGAGCTGTTTTGATAATTAGTAAAATGTAAGTTCCATTGGCCTGGGGTTCTATGTCTGTTATGGGCATTAATACTACCAAAGAACCTAGAACAGTCCCTGGATTATAACAGATAAATGATACTTATCACAAATAGAAAGAACTGAGGAATTGCAAGAAACTAAAATTTAAGGTAGGCCTGATCTAGGAAAATATACTGAATCCATGAATTATGGACCTGGTCTAACCTTCTAAATGCAAATTCTACCATTATTCTCAGTGCTGGGGCTTCTTCTCATTACTTTCATTTGAACCTAGATATGAAAAGAAAATTATTATTAAGAGACTGAGTTCATAAAATTAGAAGGGTAACTAGGTGAAAGAGGGCAAAAAGAAGATAGTGAGATTTGAAGTTTCCCAAAGGGAAGAGGATGCAGAAATAGTGCAATTTGTTCTCAAGGGATTGTCTATCACAGTGTATATCATAATGCTTCATAAGACACATTTAGATGCTGCCCTCATCATCACTTCTAGGCTCTGAGTTATTAAAGAAAAGCATTCTGACTCTAAAAAGCTTCCTTTCTATTTTCATCCACAGCTAGAGGTTAGCCTGAGCAAAAAAAGCTGGTGGAATTTTACACAGAATTAGACAATTCAGAAACTTATATTGATTTCTCTCCTAGAAATTCCATTTTTCTTTAACACTCTCATCTTTTAAAACTTAATTCAAGTATCACGTTCTCTTTAAAGCTTGCCCTGACCTTTTTCTTTCCTTGTCTATTCTATTATTGTCTATCTTACCATATCCTATTTGAAGGCCTGTGAGTAATTATAAAACTTTACATCTCATTTATTACAAGTCTTGCCCCCTACCTGACAACAGTCTTCTTGAGAAGACCTTACTTGGGAGTCATCTTTGGATCCCAACACCTAGCAGTGACATTCCTAGAAGATGCATTCAGTCAATGCTCATTGAGTGAAAAGGGAAACTGAAGCATACGGATTAAAGAAAAAGTAATGCCTTCATTATTCTAAATTAGATATAGTTTACTTAATAATGAAGGATTGTTTGAGCTCAAGAGTGTGAACTTGCTATGAACTTTGATGACACTACTATACTCTATTCCAGGTAACAGAGACAGACTCTCTCTCTAAAAAAAGTAAAAATAAATAAAAACAAAAAAGCCCCTAAAACAAAATAAAACTAAACAAAACAAAATACTAATAAAAGCCAGGTGCAGTGGTGCATACCTGTGGGTCTCAAGTATAGGAGAAACTGGGACAGGAGGATCGCTTGAGCCCAGGGGTCTGAAGCCAGACTGGGCAGCATAGTGAGACCTTTCTCTCAAACAAAACAAACAAAACCCCAATATATTCCTACTAAAATACTAGATTCATGGTATTCCAAAGGGTTTGTATACATCACAATATTTACATAAAAGTATTCCTTAAAAGTGAATTTTGGTTAAATGTTTTCCACTGATGTTCATTATACATGTGAGAAAAACAGAAAAGTCTTCCTTTATATGTATTAAAATCATCTTAAAATTTAGTAATATGCAAACTAAAACAATTCAAAATGATAATGACTTGCCAATGAAAATATTCATAACAATCTAAATCTCAAAATTGGGATGCATAAGGTTGTCTGTATAGCTGTCATTTTAATGTTTAGTACAAAAGTTTAAAATAAATCAAACAGAAGTCACTCTATCACTATCACCCCCTCTTCCTAATAGCCCAGGAAGGATAGACTGCAATCTTTCTGTTGCTTGAACTTTTGTAAAACTTCTTTTTTAATTAATCAAATACTATGAGCTAAAAGAAGCCTGATGACAAATCAAAAACAATTTTTAATGTATGGTATATTATCTACAAAAAGAAATACATGGAGAGAGAAAGCTCAAGTCCTGAAGATTCTAGAAAGCAGGTTGTAAGAAATTTCTCTGCCTTCAGCCTTGTTGCACCCTCTCGTCTGTCTATGCAACATGCCACATTAATTCTCTTCAATCACTACTGTAGTTATTTATAGTTTATATTAAAAACCCTTTAAAAATTCCCTCTTGTGTCAGTGACAAAGTCCTTGGGTTTCAAAGACCCTCCACTGCTAACTTCCTATTGCTATTGAACAGCAAACAAACCCTCAGTTAGGCCATTCTCATCACTCACGTACCCCACGTGCTTTCTGGTCCTTTTCAATCCATTTTCCATATGAATCCTTGACCTTTCCATCAGGGTCTCTTAATGTTCATCACCACCAATTTCTCACAGCGCACTCCAAAACCAGAACATCCTCCCCTTCCCCACTTTGTCCACCTATTTAAATCCTACTAATTCCTCAAGGCCCATCTCAAGTAATTATTACATGTGGACGCTATTTCCAATCGTGCCTATCACTCCACCCTAATCCTTCCCTTCTCTGACATAATAAAGTATTTATTTCTGTGAACTCAATTTTTTCACTTAATTACATGCCCTTTAGTGACTATCACACATCTTACTAAGTTCCTGCATCATGCTTTTGCATATAGGAAGTATACAAATGTTTGGTAAATTTAACCATTTCTTAATTTATACATGATCTAATATTGACTTTATGTATTGATTTTGTGTATAACGATGTATACCGTATGTGAAGCCTAAACATAAGAATGATCAATCAAGAAACATCTGTTAGTACCTACTGTTCATGCTAGACTGGACTGTATTAGACTCTGGAGAAACATGTATATGGAAGTCATAGTTCCTACTGTTGATGAACTTAAGATCATGGGCAGATGATGTACATATAGATACATACACACACATACTTGTGGAGATGTACATACAAACACAAGTTAGTAAAAATAATAATGCAAGTTACCAGTTCAATTTCACAGTGTCTAGAAAATTGCAGTTTAAAAAAAAATGTATGAACATAAAAAATATGCTTGTGTAATGCAGCAATTTGAACATGTTTTAGTTTGAGTTCCCCAAAAAGCAGACTATGAGAAAGACCTGGGTGCAGGTAGTTCATTTGGCCAGTGAGCCCAGGAAGCACAAGTAAGGGAGTGAGAAAGTTCAAGCCACAAAGAGGCAAAAGTTAAAGAGTATGTTAATGAGCAGGTCGCCACCATGGGCAAACGAGGCTCAGTGCTGCTGGACACGTCAGAATTGTCCTTCCAGGGATGGGAAAGTGAAACATTTTTTCAATGACTCTTGGCCTCACTGAGGGTTGGCCCTGGGCAGTACATTCCTGGTACTTCCATGCCACCCTGCCCTTAGGCTAAACAAGTCTAAGGGCCCCAGAGAAAGCTCTCAGGTGGAGAAGCAGAGAGACCAGGACTTGCCATGTATATGGAAACTGGTCACCTAGACTGTAGGTGAACCCAAAGGTAGGCCAGAAGAATATAGGAAGATGGGGGGGGGGGGCAGCTATAGTATCAGCTACAAGGTATCATCATTATTCCCAAACCCACTGAAATGACAGAAGTGAATATAAAGAGGTATAAACTTATAAGGGGAAACAGAAGAGGAGAAGAGAGCACAACACAAGATCAGAAATGTCAACAAACTTTTTAGAAAAGGAAAAGCTGAGGGAAGAGAAGTGACAAATCCTGGACTCCTGTAGGTGGGAAGCCTGTGTAAAGGAAACTTATTCTTATCCTGGAACCTCAGAATACTTTAGAAATTAGAGGACCCGCTCACTAAGACTTCATGACTTTATTTTGGGGAAAGGACCTTCATTTAAAAGATAGCTGTACCTTGTTAGGCAAAGAAGACATTCAAATATGTGTAGAAGAGTATGCACAAGGATGAGCAGCCAAAGGCAGGCTGCTGCACAGCTAAGCTACTCTCCATCAGCTTCATACCCACCTGGTTCTGTGCTCTGCTGTGTGCTACCTAGGCTAGGACATCATGAACCCTTTATGCTTTGCAGTTGCCTTTCTATTGGGTTCCAACAATAAGAGGTACTAGAGGGAGACTGGAGGCTGGAGTAGGAAGAAAGGACTTGCTCCTCCTGTCTGCCTTCTGCCTCTGCCAGGATCACCCCTATGATGCTCATACACTCCATTAGCAGCATTCTTCCCCATCTGCATTTTTCCAACACGTTTAGAAGCAGCTTTATCCTACCCCCTTAACAGCATTAGCACCCGCCAGTCAGCACCCCTTCCTAAGAGGCCAAGGTCACTGCTCCCACAGAGCCCTTCCTCTAAGGTTCTAAATTGTAGTAATTCCAACTTCTTCCCTTTACTCCCCCAGCCTTAGGGCTGGCAGCTTATCCCTGCAGCTGCTACCTCCATGATATCTTGGTATGGGTTGAGTATCCCTTATCTAAAATGCCTGGGATCAAGAGTGTTTTGGATTTCAGATTTTTTTTTTTGACTTTGGAATATCTACATCATGCTTGCTTGCTGACCATGCCTAATCTGAAAATCTCAAATCTAAAATGTTCCAATGAGCATTTCCTTTGAGCATAACCTCTGAGG